TGGTGTTACAGACAGTAGGATCCTTTAAAAGCCCTGACAAATCTGATGCCCTCTGAAAACAAAAGTAGTAAAGAAATCAAATAGAAGTTAGGCACAGAAAGGCCTAAAAACTCACTATATGCCTGATATTTTTAAGGTTTGCTACATCCTTAAAAATATGCCACTTAGTTCCTTCCCAGTTTAGAAGCTGAAGACTCAATGTGTCTTAGATACAAGATACCTAAACCAATTTTGATATGACTCCCATGTGGGGGAAAACCTGGCAGTGTGTTACATACACACTGATCGTGTAAAGATGAGAGACAGATAGAGAGGTAGATACTCTGTTGAAACAGGCACCATAACCAAAGCTTACAAGTATCTTATGCATCCAGACACTATCTCGATTAGGGGCTGGACCAACAGAAAATAACAATTTCTTTCATTAGTATTTTTAATATATTTACATAATGTTATCTCAAAGTTTAAATAAAGCATTTTTTTTAAAGGGATGTGACCCAGAATGAAAACAGGAGATGTAGAATACAGAAAAGCTTGTGAATGCCATGCAAAGTGCCGAGAAGTCTCGAGACATTCTTATCAGCCGAACTTTGCTTGAAATTCATGAAGGTGCATAAAAAGAGTGAGACATACCCACAGTGATCCTATAGGTGTTACATTGTTCAACATCTTAAATTTGGGGATATTTAACATCTGCTTTGGTGATGGAACAGTAACATAAGCCTAAAAAAAGGAGTCCTGAAGAGAAGACTTTTCCCCCTGCCTCCCAAGAGCATTTTTTCTTTCCTTTGCAACCGAGATGTGAAAAATCCAAAAGATAAAGATGCCATGTTTTAAATCAGGAGTGAAATCTGTAGCCAGAAGGAAAACTGGGAGGTAGGAGTGTATGCGAGACAGCACGTTTACATTTACCTTACCATCTAGTTGATGAGCCATACTGAAAGTGGACTATGGCTTGAAGAATGGAAGGGAATAGTCTCTTAAAGAAATAATTTGCATGGATGGAACATCACTCCTATAAAACAACTGCAATATCCCAAGACAACTTTTGTTAATAAATTCCGACATTAACGCTTAGCAGGTAAACTAATTTGCATGTAAAGTTATAAATTATTAAATCTGCTTCCACAAAATAGCATTTGATTTAAAATATTTTAGTATTTGTAGCCTTTAAAACATTTTCAGTAATTTAGAACTGTAAGCTCTCTAGACAAGGGCACATTTCCTATTTGCCCAAAAACATGCTACATACATCTAGTGTCCCATGTACATAATAAAGAGATCTAATAGTCTACTTAATTATTCATCACTTGTTAAATTGGTTGAAATATAATTTACAGCTGCACAGGAATAAAGGTAATGACAAATTTTCCTCAGCCAAGCATACACAATATATATAAAGGGACAGATGACAGAATGCTATAGAAATGCAAAAATACACATATACAAGCCCAGATTCTCACCCATTATAAAAGCAGTATGTGTATGCACACATGCATGCTTACACTGGGTGTACTTGTGATCCGAAATTCTCTATCAAGATGGACTCCCTGATTACCATAGGAACAGAATATGTTTAGGTGCAAGATAAGAAACAACTTCATCTGCATTCATTTGCAAAGTTATCACCCTCATCATAACTGAGTTGAGAATGAGACTTGGCATATTTCAAGCTGTAATAAAATCAAAAGGCAACCAACTGTTTCCAGTATCCCAGAAGCTAGCTTTTAAAACCCAAGGCTTCCAACCACTAACATGCCATACATTACTGGTCAGATTAGAAATAACCAAGGCGATGAGCAGCATTCTTGGGTTATGACTAGCCCTGATCTAAGTGACTTCCTCCAAAAATGGGGAAAAAGCGGTGGGGGCGCAGGGAGGAAAGAAACCATTAAGTATGTGAAACACCTAACACTGAACAAGTTGTCTTGTGAAGTCACTGCAGTATTCTTCCATTAAAAAAAAAATGGAATCTAAAGAAAAAGAGATGTAAAGCAATTTCTTCTGTGAGAAAATGAAAGCTTTATAATGGAAACAAAAAAAGATCATTTAGGTGTTTGTGGAAGAAAGAATGGCCTAAACCCAAAACATTATCAAGTCTTAAGAACATCGTCAACAGACTTAGCTGGTGTCATGACCCAGCTACCTTGACCAGTATAAGGAAGGACAACTCACGTTCATTCTCATTTCAGTGTCTGACATGTCATGATAATTATGAATGACATCTTGTTGGCCTACAGTATTCACCAAACCACTAGTTCCAAACATATGGTCATCAGTGCTATCAGTAAGATCAGTAAGATCCAGATTTGTGAAGCTGTATCTCTGCAATACTTTCAATTAAAGTTTGATCACAGAGCTCATCATGAGACCTGATAGCCTGAGCAGTGTGGCAACCTCTATCATCCATAGCTGAGAGCTGAATAAAAGACAAGTTTCACAAATATAAAAAACCCAAACATAAAATACTATAGGGGGTGGTAGGCAAACAGAGCAGAGAAGGGGAACAAAAATTTTAATAAAGTTTAACATATGTCATTTGATAGTAGAAAGAGAAAAAAAAGATGATTGGCAAAGGACAGGAAAAAAGGAAAAGCACCCCCAAAAAAAGCGTTACTACAGACCACAAAGGTAGGAACGTAGGCACAGCTCCAGAAACTTAGGCTTTAGGAACTTTAATGCTGTTTGTGGTGTTACAATATGATGTTGACAGTAAAATGTCATTAAAGCAAAAATGCAAAATTTGTGGGCTTTGCATCCTTTTTCAGAAATAGTCTAGTCTCATGAGAAATATGTGAAAGAACAAGGAGATTTGTTATACAGGGTTTCAACATGAAATATGGTCAGAAATATTGCCTCGTTCCAGAGCTGTCGAACAGCAGTTTACCATATCAGCATTACTGTCAAAAAGGGAATATAATACAGAATAGCAGCTAGTAAAGTTTATGTAGCTAAAACGCTAAAGCCAATCAGTCCTACAAATAGGGACTAAACAGTATTCTATATGTACTTCACTAGTATAATTATATTTATAATGATATTGTGGTATAAGGGTTTGTGGTATAATAGTTTCAAATCAGGAGCAAAGTAGATCACACATATCACCCTACACTAATACAGAAAAAAAAAATTAAGATGCACTATCACATATTTAAAATGTGACTGCAGTATTATTTTCAAAATATTAGCAAGAATTTTTAACATACATATATTTGAACTACCTTTTCTTATACAGGAAAAACAATTTAGAGATTACTTGAAAGAAAAGATAACTGCTTTTCAAATTCCTGGTATATCACTTCTGCTCTGATAAGGTCAATGCACAGCCCTGCAGGTAAAGTACCTAGCTGCTAAATTATTTTTCAGATCTATGACCTCATGAAACTGAAGGTATAAGCAGTCCTGTAACTCTGAATGCACCATTACTCCCGATAATCTTTCATTCTCCATTAATTGCTTTTTCTGGAAGGTAAAATATTTAGAATGCTATTGATCCAAAACTCTCTCACCTGTGGAGACTCCTTGCTCCCTATTTTGAAACAGAACCAACACTTCCAGTGCCAGGAGGAGTTTTATTGCACCAAGTCCAAACCCAAGGCTGCCCACGTTCTCTGGACAGGTTGATCTTAGCACAATTATCATGGCCGTCTGGCTCATGGAAACAATAGGACAAAAGATATGCAACACCCCCCACCTTCAAGTATCACATGAGGTGGTAATTTCAACAATAAAAGTTGTATGTATACAGTTAGTATGAGCCAGAGCTACTTAAAAGGAAATCAGTCCAAGCTTAGACAGAACAACTGCTGTAGTATCACTTCTGCACAAGTAACTAGGATGAGGAGGGAGGGGAAAGAAAAGAAAAAAAAAAAATTTAAAAATCACAATTAATACTTCCCCGAATGTGAATGCAAAGAAAAGTGTGTTAATCTGCTTTAAGTCCTAAAAAGCTCTGAGGATAAATTTAACTTAAATGTCTTCCATTCATGGGTGTATTATAGCCCTTATTATCTCTACAACCTCAGTGGCAAGTGCGAAACAGCGGCAGAGAGAATTAGTTGAAAAGCTGTAAGTTGTGTGGGAGCTCATTTCAATGAGTTATGGCTTGTACACATCAGCTGTCAAGATTCCCCAGGTCATCTTAACACACAGGCAGGCAGGACAACTTTTCACAAACAGTACATTCCAGAAGATCTCAGTGACCAAATCTTTGGCTAGAGCATGCCAACATACCTTCACTGAATTTGACACGGTTATTCCTACTGATGCAAGTCAAGTATTTGCCTCTGTGGGTGTCAGTTTGAATCTCCTGTAGTAAACCATGCCTCATCTACTCACTCATTCCCCTAGCTGGTGCTTAGCAGCTTGTCATACAAATCCAGGGCAAGTAGTGTATGTGCATGCATACACAGATAACAGTCAAACTCGTTCCACTCTTTACAAACTCATCAGCATGAAAGACTGTGGGGTATTTCCCTGCTTCATTCCATTAGAAACCACTTATGGAAAAAGTCATGGCTGCAACTCCCCCATCTCATTAGCACTGTAAAACGTTAGTGCAATTTGTTTTCCTGTGCTGATGAATCCACTGGCAACTGGATTTGAAACCTGCATTTTAATGTCAACGACCATGAAAAAAAACTTGCATTAATACATAGAGGACCTATTTTAAAAATTCATAGCAGTAATTTCAGAATTTGTTTAATTAAAGAAACCCTTGAATGGCCATGGTCATCTTAAAGAATCTACGCAGATCATCTTAAAGAATTCACATAGATAAAAGTAACAACTAAAGAACATTGGAGTTTATATTTCCATTTGTTTTTCTTTTTCCTAAGTGTTAGATACCTAGTCTGTGTATAATTTCATCAATTAGGCAAGCAACATACTAAATTCTCCCCCAAAAGTGACAGGTTACTGGACAGATGAGTCCACTATAAATTAATTATTGTAGTTTAATTACAACAACTGAAAATTTAAAGACGCTTTCTCTCTCTCACCTCAATGGTGGGTGGATCCTTTCTTTTTTTTCTTATCCACGCTACAAAAGAAATAAAAATCAAATGGATTATTTCAAAGATCAGAGACACACACACAAAACTCAAAATCATGATGAATTTGTAACAGGGAAGCAAATGTTTATATGAAAATCTACAATAGAATTTGCCACAACCTGGCAAGCAATGTCATTTCCCAAAATATAAAGACCAAAGATGTTATTTCCCATGTCAATACTCTCAGTCTTCACAGAAGGAAGGGTGGGGGTGGGGAAATCACCTCTGTGAGGAAAGCTTGGGCACAGTTTACATACCACCCTGGCTGCCAAAACAGGGCTTAAAAAGCAGGGTTCACAGCCCAAGGCCTGTTGTTGAGCTTGCTATACAGAGCTGAGCTTCACCCTGAGAAAATGACAAGATGAGTGCTGAAAGTATGAAAAGCCTTAGACCACTCTGTAGAAAAGGGATTCCTGTATATGCCTCAGGCACTGTTAAAGCCGAAAACCTATTTATGTTAGTGCCAACTGGAACTCCTTTACAGGGATGCGAGATACAGCCCCAAACCTGACTGAGGGGCTGCATAACCCTGACTGCACCATGTCTTAGAGCTGTGTGGGATTACCCACTGCATCAAGGGGGAGGTACTGTAACCGACGGAAGGCTCCCTCCATCTTGGTCAATTCATGTTGGAGAAGACAGCAGAGGAATGAAAGCAGTGGCAACGACAATTGTCCTGTGGCTCAGGTTTTCCGTGATGAACCAAAATCAATAGACTTATGCCCACTCCCATTGCAAACGGTGATGGGAGCGTGGGACTGACTGGAGGTAGCGACCCAAAGGGACCCCACTGCAGAGAGAGAAGTGGCACTCTATCAGGTCTTGCTTCATTCCGTCGATGAATTACTAAAGATAGCTCCAACTACTACAGGCATTATTTAGACAAACAAATTACCTGACTGTGGACAAGGCAATATCCATCACTCTTTAAAAGTATCACTACTGTAGAATTTTTTCATGCCTTTTCAGTCCACACAATTGGTAGGTACTGGGTTGTATATTCTGTAGACATTTGTCTTTTCTGCTCATATTTTTCAAATGAATGAGTAGCAGAATGCAAGTGGCTAGTAATGAACAGAAGGACAAACATAAGGAAAGCCAGTTCCAAGTGCTGAGACACGGCAAAATGTTCTTTTGCATGTTTGTTTGGTTAATTAAGACTTTTGTTACTGTGCTTGAAAATTAGAGCAAAAATGACATTTTCATTATCATCCAGTCAAATTCCTGGTCTGACCTGCAGCTGTCTATAAAGTTTCAGAAATGCTTTAAGAAGGAACTATTCCAAATTTTAATTTTTTAATACCATCTGTGCTATTTTGAGGGGAACTAGGGAATGAGTCAGACAGCAAGTCCAAAATGCTAAAAGCTGCACGGAGTCATAATGCCACCTCACTACTGAAAATGCAATTATACATGGGGTGAAACACGAACACCACTCTGCTTCAGCAACATTACGAAACTGGTTTTAGGAGGAATAGCTTCCAATTAACATAAGAACAGAATTAAGGGAGACAAAATGGCATTACATAGCTTGGAATTTAGCCATGATGGCAAGGCCAACAGCCTTAACTCAAGGTTAATTGTAAAATACCTATAATGATATGAAGCAAGGTATTACTTTTGGTTCTTGTCTATCAGATGACACTTTCTGAAGATGTGTTCTTTTAAATACCATTCTCAAACATCTGTTCTTAAAAGCAGTCCCTGCCAGCTCTTCTCAGAGGACTTTTGGTCCTAACAAACATTAGACCCAAATTTGCCATTGTGGAGAAGTGACTGAGCACTGAAATAGTCAACATCACCCCTTCTGCAAAAGTTTTATGTTAGAGGAAATAAAAACAGCCCATTAAGATAATCCAAAATACAACTAAATTACTTTCTTTTAAATCCATAGAACTAGAAAATATTTTGCATGTATCTGTAGCACTTTCAAACATTTAAATTTTATGAGGATTTCCAAATGCAAAATCTGGCAAGATCAGAGACTAAACTGACATTACTGAGACTGGCACTTCTCAGCTGGCAGCCTTGCAGACACTCTTTGTAAAAGGACCAACAAAGCTATTAGAGAAAATCATAGCCCACAAGCCCTTCCTCCTGACAGAAGTCATCTTTGTCTGTACTTAGCAACAGTTCCAACATCATCCAGAAAAGCAAGAAAGTGATAGAGGTATCAGTTATAGTGAAGTATGTATACTAAACGTTAACCAATAAAAGATGCAGCTGGAGAAAAAAGGAAAAGTAGTACTTTAAATTGTTTCATAGAAAATTAAGCTTTAAACCTCCAAAATTTAAGGGATTACTTTCAACAAAATACCATCTTCTGCCTTGCCATGCCTTGCTTCTGTCACATGCAAGTACAGTACCACTGGTTTCAATTCCACAGCTCTCAGCACCTAAAAATTGCTTCAATTTTGAAATTGCTAGCATTTTCTTAAAACAACAGCTGCATTTTAACTTCAACTGATTACAATTAGTGATTCTGAAAGAAAAATTCTTGAAATTTGAAATCCTACAAAAATTAAGCTGCAGTTAGAAACTACTGCTGAAATATCACCATTACAATAGATTTTCTTTCAGTAGCAGATGGGACTTTTAGGCAGTTATTTGATTAATGATTTTCAGATGAATGGAATACTTCTATGAAAAGATTTTATCATTTAATTATCTGCCTCAGTTTAATAAGCCACAGACAGAACAGTGAAGGGTAACACAATGACACATATCCTGTGAACAGAAGCTGTGAAGCAAGAAGCGTTACGCAACACACTTTCATTCATTAATAGATCTCAATTAGTACCAACACTGAAAAGCAACAAAACAATCCTTAATTTAGGAAGATTTCTCATATTAAACATTCCATTATCAGACTGTATCTATTTAAATACACAAATAATGCATGCAGTTATAACGTCGTGCTATTCTTCTTTCCAGGTATAACAAGCATTTGAATGCATGGTTTTATAGGAGCTATCAACCTTCCTTCTTTCTAATAAATGTCAGGACTACAAATCTTTTTCAGTTTAACCCTAAATAAAACTTGCTGACACAAAGACTGGATACCATTTTCCAACTAACTACAGGTAAATTCATTTTAACATCTCTAATGAGCCGCATTAGAAAATCATTATTTAATGAAAGATTCCTTCACTGCTATGTAGCTAAGGGAGAAATGCAGTAACAAAATTTACTAAAATCTCTTTATAGCCATAAGATGAAGTTAGTTAGCTTTAATATATAATATTCCCTCTGTGCAAATCCATTTCTGAAATATTCTATATAAAGCACAGCTCAAGATACATTACAAGATTAAAAGCAAAGAAAACATCATCTGAATTGAGTATACTTTAGTATATTGTACTTTAGCAACCAATAGTTTTATCAGTCTTTCAAAAGCAATACCTTTTTCTAATAATTCACCTGACCACTCCTCAGTCTTTGGGGAGAATCATGGGAGGACTAATATATTTAATCCCCCACCAGTTTTCAGGTGGTTCTCTTTCAGACAGAAAATTTTAAAAGCCTTTCAATTTTTTATAAGGGATCAACAATATTTTGAGCATCCAACACAAGGTTCAAAAAAATACCAACACCTCATAACTCAGGCATGAGAGAAATTCATGGTAACAATTAAAGGAAGAATGAATGTATACAAAAATATAACCAGTGATTGACTACTGAGTTAGCACTAATTTTAACAGAATCCAAGTAAATGATATCTTGAAATTAAGACATTTTGCATTCTCTTTGAAAAATGTAGTCAGTGTATTTAGCAATGGAAAAGCTCTCCCACCTTTCTTTGCGCTCTCCCTTACACTTTTAGTCAATGCAGGTTTAAATTACTGAACAGATTTATACCACAGTTAAATATTTGTTGATGGAAACAAAGCAGGTAGGTGCGTTATTATATATTATTTGAACACCATATGCACACATGCATACACGTAATTAAAAAGTGTCCAGTGACAGTTATAGCCGGAA